GTGTTGAAGCCGATGATGCTGTCGATATGTATTTAAACTACTTTAAAAATTCCGTATAATCATGTTATACGTAATTTTTTTAATGCGCTTAAGGTATGCCCAATTGGATTTGCCAATATTTTATTTTGTTTTTGTTTCAATGTGTGTTGGTGCACGAGGGTGACACAAATCAAAAATTGAACAAACTAGCAAGTTATTTTTTTATTATATCATTTCAATATAGTGTTCATTTACATCAATACATCGCTACATCCGATGGAACCACTGAGAAACGCACTTTGCCCACTCTTCCTTAGGGGTCTCTTCGACGGCATTTTTAAACCCAGCCACTACTTTCTCGGCGTCTATGAAACGTTTTCCTCGAAGTTTTTCTTTTATTTTTCAGAAATAAATAAAAATCGCAAGGTGCAAGGTCGGGCCTAGACAAGTTTAGGCATCGGTATGAATCGACATACCGATGCCTAAGCTTGTCCGAATCTGCTGATAAGTCACTCTTTTGTCAGTCTCTATCACACGACGCACAATACTGATGTTATCTTCAGTCGTCGCCGTAGAAGGCCGTCCCTCACGCAAATCATCGGTGAGATTAGTGCGATCACGTTCAAACTCATTAAACAAGTTGTAAACGGTGGCACGAGATGGGACTTCATCGTGAAAGGCCAATCGAAGTCTATCATAACTTTCTTGTTGACTTAAATGACATCGAAAGTCATAAAAAATAATTGTACGAAAAATTTCTCTCGTTAAATTTTTTTTTTGGAGTTTATGGCCTGGTATCCAGACCTTTAGGCCAAGTCTTAAGTATTTTTATTCGGTTTATTGTAATTTTCCCACTCCTTCATAGTATACAGCTTCACAATATGTTGATGCGTCACATTGTGCAGTTCTTGGGAGATTTTGGCGGCAACTTGATCCAGCAGACAGCTGATAGTTGGCGATGGTATCTAAAGGTGCCTATGCAAACAAACAGCTTATCTTGAGAATCCATCACCATCAGAGCACTTGTTTCACTGTTTCCACTAATAGTTCACATGCGTAGACACTTAATACACAAAATCGCAACACTTTTACGTATCAAAGTCCACTTCAAACCATTATTTAAACAATAATACAGGAGCAGCAAACCGCCGCCGGTCAATTTCCCGCCAAAACTCTCTCTCTCGTTAAATTCATGCTGACGTGACACAGATAATTTTCAATTTGCCGCCAGATCATAAACAAATGACAAATTGATAAAATACATACACAATAATATTGGTAAAGAGTTCCATTTTCAAAATTTGAACTTATTTTTTATTATATCGTTTACAAGTGGCCAGTTCTAAAAACTGTCAGTGTCGCCCTCGTACCTTAAAGGTTACATTGATAAATTTATAATTGCTTTCCATTTTCTAATATTACAATATTTTATGTACATACAATTTTATAATATTTTACCCTTTGAGGTGAAATATCCAAAAATCCTTAAATAAGTTTTACTAAGTTTCTAAACGAAAGCTTTTAATAGTAAAGTCCAAAATTTATTTACAGCATCGCAGTATTACCGTTACCGTTACAGCCTATTAAAGTCCACTTCTGAACATAGGCCTCCCCCATAGACTGACTGATAGGAGGAATATTTGCCATAGTTGTCATGCTTAGCAATCGGGTTGGCAACGGCAGTTTTTTATTTTTAGTCGTTATTAGGCAGACCCTGCTTCCCACCCCTTCCTTATTTGTTTCCCTCTGTCGCCTCTTACGACACCCTCGAGATGATATGGGGTCACAACAATTTTTTATTTAACCTCATAAGGGTAGAATTGTCAAAAATTCTGAAAAAAGTGTTTCTTAGTTTTTAATTTCAAGCAATTTTTATTGAACCACATATTTAGAGTATTGGCTCTAAATAAATATAATAAATATGGGGCAGATTTTGTAAATTTCGAACATATGTATTATCCATAACCAACATAATTTATTTTGTTTTAAGTATTAACTTCCCATGGAAACATTATACCCTCATAATAACACTTTATACTAAAGATGAGACGTATTTACGCTACCAGGTTTTAAAACCAGGTATTCACTTCAAAGTACGTCGCCCTGGTACGAGCAAAAAATACTTGCAAGTATGAAAATACTTGCATAGGAAAATTATCCATATCTCAATAGTAGTAAGGAACTCAGTCGTATTTGTGAACGAAAAATACTTAGAACTTCAAAGTATTTTTTTTATTTATACGACTTTGCTCCTTAGTCATAATAGCCTAACATGGAAAGCGGGTCGAATTCCTATGCAAGTATTCTTCCTTATATATTGCTATACTCTTTGCAAGTATTTTCAAACTGACACCGCGGCTGGACACGTCGCGTAAGTACCTAGTAAGTAATAAGAATTATGTTTATATTCGAGGAAGTAAAAGTTTTGTTTCGATTTCTTGTAAATTCAATTGTTATTGTGAACTGATTACGTAACCTACTGACCGTAACCTAATTTTTAAATAGTTATTTCGCGTGTATATTGAATTTAGAGACAGTTTTAAAACTTTTATTTATTAAGAGTCCTAAGCCGAAAAGTAGGAAGGAAAGATTTAATTTCGTTACCAAAAAAAATTTAAAAACGTTCAGTATAAATTTTTGCCCGAATCAAATTAGGCATTCATATATATATTGACATTAACAAATACTTTCAAGTATTTTTAAAACCTGGTTTTCGACCCTGGTATTTTTCCATACTCGTACTTAGAAGCCCTGGTATTAAATTTTGCAAGTATGTCTCATCTCTACTTTATACTTAGATTTTCGAAAAATACAAAACAAATTCTACCAACTTTCAAGTTACAAAAATAATTTAATAATTTTTCATCGTACAAATATGAAATCACCGCGTAAAATAAAAGTGTCATACAAACTGTAACACCTTGTTTCACCCTCTGAGGGTTGAAATTTTTCAATATCCTATCTTAGTTAATGCCCACGTAATAATTGGATGTTATGTTGTCAGAATTTCATGCCTCTACATCCAGCGGTTTGAGCTGTGCGTCATATATTGAATAAAAAATAATTATATTCTATCAATATTATTTTTCATGTACAACTTGCACACTCTATTTAAACCGGGTAGCTTCGGAAAGTAATTTTATTATTTTTACTCAAGAGTATATATCAATTTTCAAATGGAAAAAACACATACATAATTCTTCTTTTGCCTGTATTTTTCAAAACAACCCCTGTTTTGAAAAATCGTTAAATGCCGAATTCATTTATTTAAATTACAGAGCACGTTTAATAAGTTTCAAATCAATCGCCCTGTAAAATAAAATGTTTCATACAAACTTTAACACCCTATTCCACCTCCCTAGGATTTCAATTTTCCGAAATCCTTTCTTAGTAGATACCTACGAGCACATTGTAAAAGCAGGTGCTGTCAAAAATTTCAGATTTCTACGTCCAGCGCTTTGGGCTTGTCATTGATAGACCAACATTCTTATATATATATATATATATATATATATATATATATAAGAATGTTGGTATATATATACACATTATATTGTGATTTTACTATTTTCTATTTATTGAAATAAAAATGCTTTTTTAAGTATCACATTTAATGGACAGCTATAATAGCACAATTTAATAATTTATAAAGTTTTTCTTTCCATGAACTGTACCGTACAAAGCAAGTAATTAAAAATTCATGCCTAATATCGCATTAACTTTGTTGTCATTATGAAATCAATTAAGTCTTTTCTACGAGAAAATATTTAAAATATAATTTTTATTAATATAGAAATATCTAAGAGTATCTAATTAAGTTAATGATTTTTCACAATGGCTTTAATAGTAGATAAATTTTTACTAATAATTGTTCAAGTTGTAATAAGAGAAAGGTAAATTGGAATGATTAATAAATTGATGAAATAGATATGTATCATTTAACATTAATGTACTACTTTCAGTTATATGACTAGATATGATAAAATACAAGATTGAGATTTATTTTATTAATACAAATGTTTAGAATCTTTAGATAATATATTTAAAAAATATTAAAGTTGTATTTGTATATAACTTTTAATATGTGAAAAATATTCGCCGCCGTTAAAATTAGTATGGGATTCTACAAGTCATAGTAACTTCAATACAATAAAAATTTAATTGTTTAGGATATTTTTATTTTAGATAATATCGGCATAAGTGCAGTGTCTTAAATTATAAAATTGTTCCCCATTGAATAATCATAGTCAAAAAACATTTTTGCGTGTATGGCGTTATAACTGTCTTGTATACGTTTTCGTAGACATAGTTTTCTTCAAATTTAGATTAAAATTGGCACCAATTTTTATAAATATAATAGAGCTAAATATTTGATTAAAGTGCGTTAATTTTATTTAAGCAAGTCAAGAATTACTTATCTTAAATTTAATATATCTCTAAAAATTCAGTAATTAACTGACTTTATAATATATAATATAACCTATATAACTAAAAATCATTATTAACATGAATCCATATTTGGCAGGTTAATTGAATATAAACAAATTGTGATTCATCGATATTAAGCGTCTTAATAAAGTGTTCTTGAAAAGTATTTTAAAGAAAATTAAGAGAATTTTAAATTTCTTATTTAACTAGAGTTAAAATGCAACAAACAAACCAACAACAAATAAATCTTACGTTGAATAGACCCACTTTTCAAGTGGGTCTTAATAAAAATGACAACAGTAAATAGATAATTACAAGTATGAGACTTTGATCTTATGTCCGGCAGTGACAATTCATATATCACTCTCTAAAAGTCCTGGACGTGATGTTATTTCTTCGCTGTCTATTAATTGTATTTCATCGATATCTCTTGAATATCTTGTAACATATTCACCCAGTGAATGAGATGGGCCGCTGTTATTCCTAATACGGGTTCCGTTTATTTCTTCATCCTCCATTTTCAATAGCTCAATCTCAACATTAGTTTCATCTTTATCGACCGCCGTCCTGTTTGGAAGGCGGTCAAGTTCCTGTCAAGTTGCTTGTAGTTCAGCAAGTTCATTCTCCTCTTCGTGAAGACTTTTCTCTGCGAGCCGGAAACTTTCAAGAAATTCATTCAGATCAACTAAGCCATCCTTGTTAATGTCCATCAATCGACAAATATCTACCAGCTGTTCCTGAGTCATAGAATTTGGCATATATTTCCCTAGTAACTGACAAGCTTCTGAAAATTCTTCTAGTGTTATATATCCTGTAATAACATCAAATGTTTACTCCACGCACTCTTGTAAATATAAAATACGTGGTACGAACTGAATACTGAAACTAATAGATAAGTCTATACGACGTTTCACGTTAAGATGAGCATAATAATAATATGAAAATCTAAAATAAAAGGAAACAGAGAAAATTCTTCACAAAGCTCTTGTCGTATATTTTGTGAAAGAAACTGTATATAAAGATTTTAAAAATATGTCTGACTTTGGCTAGAAATCCAATCCATCTTTGAATAAACATAAATATAAAAAATCATTATCAAAACTAACTATAAAATAGACAGGATATACACATGCTGTTTGGAAGATGGGTACAAAGCCTGAAGGCGATGATACCTTAAACTATTTAGAACATATTAAGTTAAACTTGTCTTAGGCGAAGTCTGCTACTTTTTTATTGAATTTTTAATATTTTTAACAATAAAACCCTTTTTTTTTTCAATGAATTGTTAATAGTGTCCAGTAACAGCAATTTGTTATTATTTTTAGTATTTTTATTTATATTATGTCTGATTACTCAAACAAAGTAATTTTCAAGCGTCTTCATCATCAGAAAAACGAAAAAAAAATTAAGGAAATGTTGTCATGATGTCCACTATAGATTTATTATTTTAAGGTCAGTGTATGTACACTTTCGCAATTCTGTGTCACCTAAAATTATGCTATTTTTTAATAAATCATTAATTTCAGTCTTCTTTCTATGCATATATATTTATATCGATTATAATTTGAAGTCTCAAAATTACAAAGAATCTAAGCTACTACAAATATAAGACAAGAATAAAAATACCTGAGTTATCTTTATCGAGAATTTTAAAGATAGCTTCCAAACTCCTCTTATTTTTGTATAGCGTTTCCACGACAGTTTGTGTTTCAGCCTTGCGCCCGATCCTCTTTAAAAAAATATCACAATTTGATGTAAAGATACTAGTATGGGATTCATTAGGATAAAAAAATGGGGGCTTACATTAGGATTTAAGTCAAAGGTATCCATGTAACGGACACGTCGCGTCTCCGGATCGGTGCGTACTAATTTGTCCTTGAGCATCCTCCACGGGAGTCCGAGATGCGTGGTTTCTTCCATTGCGTTACACCAATCACTTACAGATATAAACCCTGTAATGTTTTATATATATAAGCCCAAAAAGTATTTTATTACAATTAGGAGATAATTATAGATTATAGATATAGTTAAAGTTACAGCCTATATATGTCCCACTGCATCGCATAGGCCTCCCCTCATTTCTGAGAGGGTTAAAACCCTCCATTTGTCCGCCGCGCTGCCCCAATGGATGTTAGCGAACTTCAGATGTCTTCGAAAAGTTTTTTCTTATTTCTCAGACATGCAGGTTTCCTCATGATGTTTTCCTTCACCGCTGAGCACGTGGTAAATCCACAATTAAAATTGCAATTAACAGTTTGTCCATCATCTGAGCTACCACGGCTCACTATATATATAATTCGCCATTTAGTTTTATCATAAAAGATATTTTCATTTCAATCCTAAAATAATATTTGAATATACCGTGGAAACAACTGATTCCTAAATTTTCGAACAACATATTTTTTAAAGCTGAAACTACCTACCACTTTGATCCAAATCCATGCTCCGGAAGGTTGCTTCTAAAGAACGCCTCGCCAACATAATATGATTGTGCAGTTCCCTCATAGCCGATGATTCAACGAGTCCGACCCTTTGACGAAACGTGAGGCGGCGCGTCCGTGATACGGCAGCAGTGTATTGAACAAACTGCCGCTCAAGCGAATTACCGCATAGTTTCAAATATGCACCTTTATTGGATCCTAACTCGTAATAGTTTGATGCCGAGAATATTGTTATTACCTGTTCCAATAAAATAAACTCTGTTTAAGTTAAAGTCAAAAACGCCTTAAAATTGACGAAATGTAATTGAATGTTAAACACGAATACGTACATTAGTCCTACGAACCGATATTTGTATAGGAAATAACATTAGTATTAGTTATCCAACTAAATTGGTACAAACATAATTTATTTGATGGAACATGTGGAGGACTGATACTTATCCTAATAAGTAAATAATACCTTAAAAGATACTATAAAAATAAAGACAAGTTTTTCACATTTCACTGAAATGAACAATGGAATACTCCTAGGATAACAAATGCAAGTATAACTTAAGATACAAATATTGTCATCTACATATATCTATTTCCAGTAGGCACGTGTGAGAGACGTGTGTTTGCCGTAATCGTCACGTTTTGCCAATAGATTAACGATTCAAGTAGGATTCTGTACACCTATAACAGTTGCCGATTTGGCAATTTGTACAAGCTTTGGAAAATTATTTATTTAGTCTTCTATATGCGACTACAAGATTTTCTTGGAATGCCTACTATAGACATATAGACTAGTTAAACGCTCACCACGAAACGAAAATATAAATTATCATATGAAATTCCTAAAACACTACAGAATCTCAAGAATCTTGAATGAAGAATGGCGCAAAATAGTGAGATATTAAATCACAAGGGATCAGCATTGACGCTGCTTTATATCGTTGGTCGTAAGTATTAGTAATGTGTAGTAATAAATTAAGAAATTATATTATATACCACGATTTATTAAAATCAATTCAAATTGGTTTAATTTTTATCATTTTGTCTTTTGAGAATACAACAAATTAATACCTAACGAATTATAGGGTAACCTCTACTTACATTTCCACTATGTTGTATCTCATATCCGCCAGGTTTGCATTCGTGACTTCTTACAATAAAACTCAATTTGTTTTTCCCAAGAAAGGAAGCTGTCACATCGGGACCAAAGTAAGTGCCAGCACCACGAAGTGCATTCGCGATGCATCCTCCAGAACTTTGCGGATCCGACCAAAGAATATCGAAAACCTAGAAATCAGTAACTAAATAATAACATTTGTCTGTTCCCAACTTCTATAGGAGTAAATATCAAATTAGTTTTAATACCTTCAAATATAGAAAAGTACTTTTCAAATTTATAGCGCGTTAACATTAAATGACCAAAAACCAATCATGTGGTTTGCTTTAATAATACCTTAAATTAAAAAAACGTCATCATTGTTACATTGACGACTCCGTAGCGCAGTGACTTAGCAATGAGTTGTTGCGCTGGGGGCGGGTTCGAATCCCGCACGGAACAAGTATTTGTATGGCCTACAAATAATTGTGCCGGGTCTGTATGTTTGTACTCGTGCAATCTATGTTTGTAAACTGCCTCCACGATACAAAAGAAAATCCTAGTGTGGGGGTAACGTTTTTTAAAATATATATAAAAAAACATTATAGCCAGGTCACAAGTCCACTACTAAACTAAGGAATGTTACAAAATACGATCCTGAGACACATGCATCCATCGACAAAAGCATGTTTTACCAGTTCGTTAATCCATCAGTATTTTGAATGTTAATATGGCAAATTGATTTAATTCTTACTGCATTAGTAAATTTACAATACATACAATGTTTTTTTTAAATATTAAAACTACCAAACTTATTTCATTCTTTCTGAATTTCAAATATTTTATGAGTTAGAATGATCAAGCATTATCAAGCAATGGGAATGTAAACGTTCCCTTATAATCATGAATTATTTAATTTTCAACCGTAACGCTACCACAATCAAAGAGCGAGCAAACTTCGGAACCATCAATTTGCGTAGCAAATTCCATTAACCCGTCGCTAGATGAAGTCTATACGATGAAGTTATATGAAAATGAAAACCTAAACAGGACGAATGGCAAACATGATAATACGGAAAAGTCAGATAAAGTCAATGCATATACTAGAAATGAAATTTTGTGCTTTCATTTTAATCACGAAGCAATCGGTGCGTACTGTCGTATTTTTGCATTTTAAAAATAATATCGAATAAATATATATCATCGTCATCATAATCACAGCATATTACAAGTCCTTCCTGAGGCACAACTTAGGCCTACCCCAAAGAATACCTCAAAACACGGTCCTAAGTCCCTGTGCCATCTGTATCCATCGACTTCCTGCATGCCTTACCAGGTCATAACTCCATCTAATGGGGATGGCCTCCCTAAACTTCGCTTATCGATACGATGCTGTCACTCGTGACTCTTAAAGGAGAAGCTATGTCTGTTACTCTTGTTCTGTTGCGGATATCTTCATTGCGAATTCTATCTCAAAGAGAAACTCCAAGCATAGCCCTCTATTTTCCTCTATTTAGCTTTAGTAAAGGATCATCATCATTATCACTATTTCAGCCTTTAACACGTCCACTGTTGAACGAAGTTCGCCCTCAAAGACTCTTTGAAAGTACGGGGTATTTGGAACCGTTTTCAAATTTAGCAGGCAGACTGGAAACAGCATTGTTCTTTTTGTTAAGTTCGGAACCCATCTCCTGGTTGTTAACCTCTGTTTGTTTATACGAGTATATACTGCGTAAAGGACTCTATTAAATAATAAATAAAATACTAAACATAAAAGTATGTATTTCCGATTATAAAGCACCACCAACCAACCTGTTTCCATTCTGTCTTATCGATTTGTTCTGTGCCTGGAGCTCCTCCTTCTGGAACTGGGGGACGCAGAAGCGAAACATACTGAAAATAATTGCTTTGCTATTAAACTTTAAATAAAAAGTATGTAAATTAGAAAGATAACTACTTATCTAAAATGTTAAATTCCGTTGAGAAATATATTATGTATGCATATTTTAGATGCGTATTCATTAGTAGGAATAAATTTTAGACCTTCCGTAATATGCTCGGAAACTAATTTATTCTTATCTGTGAAACTTATTTAATCTTGCGGTGTGTAATCTCGCATAGAACTATTTAGATTGGTATGTTAAAACGAGGCTAAATATAATCAACGCCATTTTTAGAAAGCTTTTGCGCTTAATAAATAGAAGATTAATGAACATAGTACGCCTATGAGACGTGCTTGCAACGTTCAATATGGAAACTTAATTTACTCGTAAATAAACAAGCTTAATAATTACATAGTTTAAAATCCGACTGCGTAAAACAGTTTTCTAAAAAGTGAATAATTATTTTTCCCGTTATATAAGTTTTTTTATATAATTATACATTATATATAATTTAGAATAAATTTAATAAGAACTCTATCACAGCTATATATGTAGTATAAGTTTCGAAAATTTAAGTGAGAATGGTTGCTAACCCAATTTAAATCGTAATAGATCCGGAATGGTCATTCAAAATGAAAAATAATGAGATAAATTAAGGATGATTCTCAAAGATATATTCTTGATTGAATTGAATGATACACCACTTGGCATAGTTCGTCTACTTTCATTTTTTCTTTTTCACAGTATGGCGTCTGGTTGTCGCCCTATAAAATATTGATTACTGTCATGTCTTTATAGTCTAGTCAACAAGTTCAAAAACCGTTGATTCTTGTTCCCTCTCTTAAAAATATGTGCGATAGCTCACTCGAATCGAAATGACGTCTAGAAAAGTATCTCGAAGATTTATTAGCATATAAAATATTGCGATTGTTATTTAGAAAATAAGATGAAGATAGGATTTGTATTTTTTCCTTAATAACTCAAAAAATACTAATATTTAAGAATTTTTGAAAGAAAATCCTTAAAGAGGAAGAAATTTCCAAAAATAAAAGTCTCGACTTCCGGAATTCTATCTTCCTTATTTATTATTTTTATTTAACGCCGAAAATAGGACTCCGCGCGACCGTTACGACTAAAGCGCATCGTCGCTGAAGACAGTATATTACATAAAATATTTTATAGTATTAAATATTCATTCAAAAATTTGGAAAAATTATGGTATCATTAGAACACTTGAATAAATAAAAACCCCGTTGGAAATAAATTGTCAATTTTTCAAAAATTTATACGATTGTTAAGTAACTAGTTTTTTTTCCAATCTTTGTTTTTACAAGAGTCGACATAAAAGTTTAAATAATTGACCTACAATTTTTTTACTTCTTGAAGTTCTTTTTACAGACATAGTTAACAAGATCACGTGATAAAATCATATTAAAGTTTTATATTTTGTTGGTCATAATTTTTTAAAATGAGCAAAGAGAAATATTAAAAAAAAATGTTGTTAATTTCATTTTTTGACAAATGAAATTATATTGCTATTTTTGCATCTAACAATGACATTTATAAACTCAGGGAAAACAATTTTTACGTCATTTTTTAAGAAATTATTTATAAACAAATAGACAAGTTAAATATTTAAAAATAATTTTTTTGCCATTTTATCGTCATGGCAAAATTATGATTTAAATTTTTATTAAATGTTTTTTTTAATTTCGATTGTTTAAATAATTAAATAAGATGTTTTATCTTTAAAACTTATTAAGAACTAAAATGCAGATTCGTTGTCACCCCTGAGGACTAAGACGGAATATCTCATATCCAGTAAAAATGGTCTCCGGTTCTCTACACTCATCATACGAAACACAGCATTGAGCTGATATTTTACGCTGGTATTACGTGAGAGCGTGGTCCTTCGCCAGTAGAGGCGACCAATTCGTGCTACAACCATAATATTACTGCAGCATGGCTCTACCACGTATAATAACGTATAATATATAATAAAAAAATTTGAGATATTTTTTTCTGAACAATATTTAATGTTCGCCCTAGTCAACTACATTTCAACAACCTGATATATTATGGTTTTAAATAAAAAAAGTGTCATATTATAGTAGCGTATTTACTTTATATCCATTTATAAGAATACAGGCGCTTAGAGCAATTTGAAAATGAAAATGTTAAAGTTCATAAATAAAACGATCTCACTTTAAAACAATAGTGCTCTATCAGAGTCACTCGTGTCCGTGTTGTGTGTGTGTAGTATACGCGCTCGCACACACGAGGGAGCTTTTGACTCTATTACTCTTCGTTGCTTCGCTGTGCTTGTGCCTTTCTATTGGACTTTAACATATTTGAAGCGTTCACGCCTTGGCTAAACAGTTTGTATTTCCTTTTAATATTTATTTATTTTACTCCATGTTTTTATTGGTTTGATCTATAATATAAAGATGAATTGCTAAATGTGTTGCTAAGCGCAAATCTCGAGAGCAGCTGAACCTATTTCGCTAATTCTTTTTTTATAATATTCCTTGAAGTACGAAGATGGTTCTTACGGAGAGTAAAATTTAAAAAATTGCCTGAAAAAGTCTAAAAACAACAATTTTCTATATTCCCATACAAAAGATTCGTAATAATACTTAAAAGTCAATTTGAACTTTAATACCATACCATAAAGTTTAAGTGTTAGTGAAGGGGTTCCGGGAAGGCAAAACAATTAAGTGAAGTTAGTATCGTATAAATATTAATGTCAATATTTGTCAATAGTGTAATTGTTGACTTATCAACTTTCTTTTTTCTTTTTTTATCTTAATAGCTGACACGATGTTCCGAATAGCAGAACAAGTATTAAAATAAAAATTAAAAAACGAATGTTAGGCTATACGAAGTTCGCCGGGTCAGCTAGTTAATTATAAATTCCACCATTAAATATGATATTTCACTTTATTTTTTATAGTCAAACCATCACAAGATTTAGCTTTTATTTTACCTGTAGTGTTTCATTTTCAATTTCAACACCATTATTTTACTTTCATAATTTCATCTCATCGTCATCATTATTACAGCTATTCACAAGTCCACTGCTGAACAGGTTTAGGTATCACAAATTATTGAAATAAGTAATTATTGAAATAGTTCAGTTTAAGTGCAGTCAATAATCAAATTTTAGATAATAAATATAAAATTAGTGATTATTGTTCGACATATTATTCTTTATTTATAATAGCATAATAGAAATTAGCAATAAATTAAAATTTGAAAACTTACTTTATCACGGTCGAGACTGCGTACCATATCAAGGTCAGTCATGTCGGATATCCCGCCATGAACCACGAATACGCGGTTGTTAATAATTGTGGCTAAAGGCAGCCAACGATATACGCCCTCAATAAGCTTCAAAAGTCGCTCTGCGTTATGCTGTTAACAAATAAACAATTACTTTGAAAATCAATTTGGTTATTAAAAGACATACTCGATTTAATACACACTTACTCGATACTTTTGATGTACTTCCCTGATAAATCCATATCTGTAAATTAATGAAATTACATCAGTCACAAAATCTAAACCTGTTGAACAAAATCTTTATAGCATAAAGTAAGAAAAGCGTTAATACTATTGGCTTGTGGCTTGTTACCTTGAATTCATAATAAGATCTTCGTGATTGCCTCTGTTTAAATAAACTCCCCCAGGAAAAGCCAACATACATGCCAGCAACAGAAGTAATACTTCCAAACTCTTCTTGCCCCGATCCACAAAATCTCCATTAAATATGTATGGATTTTCTGGTGAAGGCAGCCCATTCTGTTTAATATTTAAATTTGTTTTAATATATTACGAATATTCAGGCTTTATTAATGCAAAAAAGTTCGTTGAATTACGTCTACCTAATACATAATGTTTGTGGCTATAGAAACAAACTTTAATAAGAAGAAACATTTTGATTCTTGTCACGTACGGCAGATATATTTGAATTTGGGTCACGAGACGTATTTACGCATTACAATAAAATAAACTTTGAATAACTGCATGATACTCATCTAAATTGTAAGTGCCGAGTCCCTATACTAGCAGATCGCGCTACTTACATAATTCATTGGATCCTAATAGGTTTACTTCATGTTAAGTAATCATTATCTTTAGGGTGAAATTGCTTTTGTTTTAAGTTGATATATATATATATATATATATATATATATATATATATATGTGTGTGTGTGTGTGTGTGTGTGTGTGTGTGTGTGTGTGTGTGTGTGTGTGTGTGTGCATAGAATTATTATATGTTAAGTTTTAATTTCCATGACAGAATTTAACTGAAGATAAGCCGGACAGACAGACAAAAAAATTATTTCGTTAATTTTTTAATTAATTATTTAAAACAGTTATTTCGATATTACAGGCAGACATTTCAATTTTATTCCTATGTGATCAAACTCCACTATTAACTAAGAAGGTGAATAAGTAATTTAAATAACGCCCACACTTTTAAAGTAATAGAGCTTTGAAGATATAACTTTTTTGAAGAAATTTATTACCATTAAGCAATTTATATCAGTCTAAGCTTCGGTTTATGAATAAATAACATCTTCTTCTTAATAATCATCTATCTGCCCGTAAAAGTCTAGAGTTGGCATGGGCCTGTCCCATTGCAGGGAGAAGTGCCTTGTCCTCAAGGTTTTCAGGCGGATTTGTGATCGCAACACAAATCTTTAGGCTCCTTTGACGTTGCTTCCCGTTACCGATATGGATATTTTACGCTGGCGGTAACGAAATGGTTTCACCACTGTCTATGGGAAATCGAGTGATTAATCTGGCATTTTCCATAGTTACCTTTAACGACACCCTCGGGAGGAGATGGGGGAGATCTTATTATCCGCTACCACAATACCAATTGCAAAATATATATATATATATATATATATATATATATATATATATATATATATATATATTTTCATTAGTAATTTTATCTAATAGAAATTGTGTACCTTAATTTCACTTAACATAAAAATAAGAAGGAAGAAAACTTGTATCAGTCTATTGTACATTCTTTTTATAAGATCATTTTATTTATTTGCTCTATGAGGAATTAAAGTTCTTCGAAAAAGTAACAGATGACACAACATCATCCGAAGCATCAATGGATTATGGAAGTAGGCTGAATCCTGAGTAATATGAGATTAAGTAGGAGGAGAAAGACTGTACATGTAAAGACTTTTTGAGTTTTCGGAATAGGTTAGCACACAAAGTAATGATTTTTCTTTTATAAAAAATATGGGTGGGCACATAGTTCAACAGATGGTAAGTTGATGCTGTGGTCCATGGACACCTACATCTATTCTACATTAAGAATCGAAATGCAGATGCGTAGCCACACCTGAGAATTAAGATGGAAAGCCACGTTACTAGTAAAATGGGTTTCTGTTTCTCTACACTCAACATAACGAAAGACAGCAGCATCAAGCTGCAATTTTACGCTGGTATTCAGTGAGAGCGTAGTCTTTACCCAGTCGTGCCGACATATTCGTGCTGTAACCATAATATATCTGCAGCGTTGCTCTACCACATAAAATTTATTATTTACGTCATTATGTTACTGTAAATAATAGTTTACAAACAATTGCTTAATTCGTTTCATATATAAATATCATCTAAGTTTTGTGTATACGCAAACCCCACATCTTACGACGTTGTAAGCTTTTATCACACATGACGTCAACCATACAAATGGGACGAAACTCAACGCTATACAATAATTGCCAGTCCGTTAATTACTTCCTAACCCTCGATGATTTACGATCTATATTTTTTCTCATTAAGGCAGTAATAAAATGAAACTATACTTTTTGGATAAAAGAGCTAAAACATTTTTTTAAATATCTATATTATTACATGATTTCATACTTATAAAATTTTAAAAATAAGATTTTCGTGCTCTATGGTTTGTCAAGTTTATTTATTTTTGACAATACTCTTAAAGTTATAATACTTATGTATATACGCAAATTCTATACATATATATGGATAAATGCGTAACATAAATGTATTATTTTAATTAAACATATTATATTGTAAACTGTTTACCTTGTGAAATATTACCAACAAGTCGTCGAGCTTTCCGTGCAGATCTCCACAAATAGTAATTTGACTTGATATAGACGTTGTCGCCACGTTAATATTGGGTAGCCTTTTCAACATTTGCGTAGCTTCCTTCAGTATCTGGGCTACATGCTTAGGATTTAAACGATGCTGAAAATTTAGATCACATGTTAGCATTTTTATCATCATATAGATTTTTTTTTAAATAAATCTGTCATCATGGCCTGGATGGGAAGTGGTTATTAAAAATCGAATATAAATAAAAGTTCGATGATTTAACTAGAATAATAGATAAATCATCGGACAAAGGAAAATGAAACAGTGTCTGGGTGTTTGCACTCTGGGAACTTAGTAATAAGTAGTAGACATCTCACAGTAATGGGAACATGACAATTATTTTTTATCTTTGATTTGAACGGTTACCTAAAACAAATTAATTATTTATTCAACAATATGTATATACAAACGCAAATGAGGGTGTAATAATAATTATTTACTGTTATTATAACGCATCAGCCGTTGTGTAATTGGTTTTTATTTTATTTTTTAAGAATAAGTAGGCAACACTAATTGCTGCTATCAAATATACAACAGACTTAGAAATATACAAATATACAATAGAATTATACTTAGAAATATACAATAGAATTAGAAATGCTATCGAATATAGACACGCTTGTGTCATTCATTCATTCTAGTTACCCGATCATTCAAGTATTGATTCGTCTTACGAACCGGGTCATTCGGATCGATCATTCAAATCTGTGAGATCTGCTCGATAATGCCGGACGTCAGACACATTGGTAGACGACCATCAATCGTTTGATCCGGAACATTAAAAATGCAATTGTAATCATCGATACTTTGATGCAACCCGGGTCAAAGCAACAAATCATACATTATTGACATAATTATATTGTCTACACGCTTTAGTGTAACAATAAACAAGTTTTTAAAGTTACTTGTTATGACTTTTATTTGAATATAATCATAAATATAAAGATAAAACATGGTCTCAGAAGTTGAAAATTAAAATATATTTTATTTGTTTCGAATACTATTTAAAATAATAACCTATAGTGCAAAGATGGAGTGGAAAGCTTCAAAAATACTTTGTATAAATAATGCAGTTACTTGGCTTAAAAAGAAACAGGTTTGAAATATTTCTACTGGCTTCAGGTAAAAATCAAGCAGCAGAGAAGTTAAAAATAGGTCTTCTATTGAATATCATGGGAAAAAGTTGTTAAGCTATGTAATAATACCGTTGGCGATGGTAAAAAGCATTAACAATTTGACAGTGTTTTATCTTGTTTTGATTATATTTTTTTTACCCAAGAGAAATATAACAATGGAAACGTTCAATTTAAATAATATGACACAAAAAGAGGATTAATCGAATGTTACTTAGGGTGTGATAAGCCGTATCAACCAAGGCATATACCTAGTCTATAATAAAAACTGTGCAATTTTTCAGCGGAAAAGAAATCATATTTTAAAAAAAAATTAACAACATGGTCCTTCTAAAACATTCAAACAACGGAATATCTTCACGATTAAAAAAAAGATGGAGGATTTTAGTGAAAAAAAAAATATGTCAAAATTAAAATGAACAAACTGTGAATGATGAAAATCATGTCCATAAATATTTACAAAACTAAAATTTTCACCATCATAATTTGTTAAGTCGATATGAATATCTCACTATCAATTACACTTATACTTAAACTGGACACTGGATCAGAATCTAGTATTCAAATATTCAAATATTAGAAAAAATTAAGTTTTAATAAATGAACTATATCTTTTTTTTATAGGATAAGGGTGACAAACGAACACCTGATGGTAAATGGTTGCTGCGGCCCATAGACATCTACATTTATCCTCGTTCGCGAATCAAAATGCAGATGCGTTGCCACCCGTGAGGACTAAGATGGAATGCCTCATTTCCAGTAAAAAGGGCCTCCGGTCACCTGCACTCACCAAGCGAAACGCAAAGGTAAACCTCTACTTCACGCTGGTATTCTGTGAGGTCGTGGTACCACCCCGGTTCGAGCCGACCCATCCGTGCGACAGCAAAAGCTGCCGCGTGGCTCTACCACTGTGGGAAATCTCCTAAAATTACATTAATAATATACCATATGGAAACTTCTGATGAAGCTTTTGGGATATATTGCAAGTTTGAAAATCGATGTTTTAATGTTAAATTTTTAACAGTTGATCTTGACTCTTAACCTTAAACTAATAGGATTGATTGATTGCATTCAGTTTAGATTGTATTCCAGGTAAAGTGGATATCAAATTAAAACCTAATGCTATACTGGTCATCCAGGCACAAAAGAAGCATCATTAGCACTTTATAATTAACTAAACAACACGTTATGTGACCTATAAATAATATTGTTTCAAATGTTGATTATATCACAGAGTATTTCATTAATTATTGCTTAAAAACCTAATGGTTCACTACATCTGTGCTTGGTCCCAAAACAATTTCCATATGGTTTGTTTGAAAAGCCAGTTTTTTTTCACTAATTGATATGAAAGACGGGTTTCAACAGTAGTACAGTAAACAGAAACAAGTTCAAATTCAAATTTATATACATTTAATACTCCTTTTGACATGTACTTGTTCAATAGACCCTTGGGCTTTATTTAACACACCAAAATTTTTCTAAACAATAAGTTTAGAGCTTCTTGATGATATCCCAAATATAACTATTTACGTTGATTATATTTTACAATACAAGACGGTGTAATTTTCTCTCTTCCCTTATAATTTCAAGTACAAAAACTCAATAGTGCGCATTTTATTAGGTTAGCGATATCTATCGTGGAGCGATGAAACCATACAATACTGTTTTATGTTATAGATAGATGATATTGCATTCAACATACCGCCCACCTAGAACAACATTGTTCTTCACAATACACACAAGTCTCATTACTAACTAAACATTTTCAAAAATCCTTACTAACTTGTTATTTACACTTCACAATTATTTTGTTACGGGTAATATACAAATTTTGTTTCTTGGGTGCTTAACAATATAATTTTTTGTCTTTATGGAGACCACGCAAATAATTTTGTCCGGACCTGGATGTTTTGCGACTTCTATTCCATATGTCCACCGACAAGGTGGTAGACGGTCTTCTGTAACGATGACAAAATCGCCTAAGTTAGATTTGGGGGCAACGTCGTTCGGTTTACAAAAAATTTTGTAAATATTCAGACTAACACCTTCGTCAATAGTCTTGAACCATTTTTATGTTTACTGTCATTTACACAATGATTATTGATTTGATGATTAAAAATACAAGTCTACCGAACTTGAATTTTTAATCGTAAACGGAGGTTCACCTATCAAAAAGTGTCCCGGTGTTTGTATCGTATGTTCCCTCGTTCACCGTCATCATACAGTCTAGACTCTAGATAGTGGCTTTTAATTCAGATACGCCTCGATTTGCGCCAATACTGTCGTCATATTTTAAAGTTCATCAGCGTCGTAATCTCAATAACGTTTTAGGTGATACTTAACCGATTTCACGCCGGCTTGCCATAACCCTCCGAAGGAAAGAAATGGAATGTAATGCCACGTGGTAAATTCCTTGACTGCACACAAAAAGTTCGTCCCGCTATCGTTCCAAATCTCTTAACAATGAGCTCTGTGAGCTACAAACCGTTTGAAGGCCTGTAAGAAACTTTCACTTGTAAGCTAGGATACCACTTCCAAGTGTATTGCTCTTGTTGCCATGCACACTAACAAGTCTACATACCCTTTATAAGAGCAATGTCCCCTTCTTTTGCAGACCCTTAGCTGAATAGGTCCAGCATATTCTACGCCGTTGCTCTTAAATTGTCGTGTTGGAGCTACACAAACAGCCGGTAACTGGCCCAATAGTTTATTACTACTATGTTTGTCTTGGCATTAATGCTTTAGAAAAACGCCGTGAACTGGGCTACTGTTAATCTATTAGGACTCCTTTTTATTTCTTCCCTTAATACTAGGGTGTAGACCTCTGCTTCTAACAGAAGGTCTTTTTATTGGGTATATCCTGGCCCTGCTAATTCTATTTTATCTAGTTTCAGCCATTCTAAATCGTAATGAAAAAAAATTTCCTTACTAGGTAAGAGTGCCCTAAAAAGGTTTAGAATGTTAGCTTTCACCGAAATCATAAAATCAGGATCTACTTCTGAATAAATCTCCAGCGTGACCGTTGCCTTGGAAACTGCCTTATGGTTTCCACCTTTTCCCATAATATCACCTTTTATCGGAAACTTCTTGAGATTCAGATACTACACCGTGGCTTCCATTACGAAAGGCGCTTGCGAACCTTGATTCAACAGGGTGCGTGTGATGCCTGCCAATTTGTGCCGTGCCATATACTAGGACGGTAGCCGACAAAACTTGATCATGTGTTCTACCTGTTGAGAAACATGCCATAGGTCAGAACCTTGCGCACTGGTCACACGGTACTGTCCGGTTTCTGAGGTACTTAGTTCCTGATTGTTGCAATCAATTGTCGTGGTCTTACTACTCGCTAGATTATAGTTTTTTTTTTCTGAAATTTGCCTTATGGGTGATTCTTACTTATACATTTCTTAAATAAACTTAGCCGATAGTTTTCAGAGTTTAACTGCTGTTTTAATACATTTGAAACATTTGATTTATTTGCCTCCAAAGCTTCTAAAACTCGAGGGAACTTCTAGGACTGGATGCCCTACCCGTTAAGAAAAATTTTAATTCTTAAAAGGTTGACTATTATTGCTACTAAAGAACTCCCATTGTTATCTTCACTTTCGTAGATTATTAATGATAACGTATAAATTAATATCACATCGCAATATATACATTTACACCTAAGTTAGTTAAACCAATTAAACAATTACAAGTTGTGTCTATCGAACATTTTAAATACACACATTAACAGTTCAATAGCTGGTTTACAAGTAGCAAGTAAACATTTTTTTAAATACATTTCGGATATAGTTTATCAATTACAAAAATTCAATTACAACAATATCAATTCAAATTCAAAAAATCAAATTCAAGTCCAACAAAAGTGTCCCAATAAATATTTTGTATCACTATACTTTAGGTAGAATCTGGCATAATTTTCCGTCCTATGTGGTCTTGTAAAATTTTGGGTGAAAAAGTAAGCACTTATAAGCACTTCTCGTAAACTTCAAAGTTAATACAATATTAAAAATAAATACAAATATTTAAGAGTTCAAATTGGCAAATCACTAATAATAACAGCCTCAACAATATATAATTTCTAGTAGAACAACTCGATAGTGCCCACTTTATTAGGTTAGCAACATCTATTCTAGGGAGGCGAAACCATACAAATTTCATTTCATTTTAGAATTAATGGTAGTGAGATTGTGATACATACCGATCATAAATAATTGACACACATTTAAAAAAAACTTAATGATATAAATGCAAGGTTACAAAGAATGCTCTTAATTTTTTGAGGGTTTGATCCACTAGATCATGTCACCCTCATAGCTCTTAAAGTTACTAAAAATAAAAATAAAAGTGAATATTTGCCAGGATTCCAATCAATACATTCAATCATGTAATTTTCAATCAATTTTCATTCCAATCAATTCATGCAATCACCTCAATCCCCCGTGGCTATGGGTGATGCAAAGCACCCGAAGCTTCGGAAATTAAAAGCCAAAATTAAACGCGATAAAACTCGCGTGTTCGCGTAAATAATTACGGATTTTAATCATTTTTTTTTTAATTTTCCCAGTTAAATTTAGAATTGTAAGTTATAATAAAATTATTACATTAGCATTTAGTTTTTAATTATATAATTTTTCGCGATGTTAATCAATACCGACCGAGTGGAGAGTATTCGAGATACAAAGGGCAAGGTCACAAAAGAGGAGAGAGGAGAAACGGCGAAAAAAATTCACATAGTGAGGTCGTGGCTTTAATTCTTCTTTAAACTTTAGCTTAGCGCCGACTTCAGAACGTAAATTCTTTTCATTCTTTTTATTTCTTTGAAGTCTTTTATTTTTGTTAAAAATTATTTTTGAGTTATAAATTTTAAAATTGGAATATCAGCAAACGATATATCGTTTTTATTTTGTAAAAACGCATACAATGTTAATTTTGTGAATTAAACTTCCTATTTTATACCTCCGTTCCATAATTATTGGTAGGTCAGGAACTGGGCGCTCGGCCTATATTTCATAATTAGTGAGCAACCCGAATTTAGTCCTCGCTTGTATTACTGAAATTGTTAGATGTAACCTTAAGTTCTAATTTACCACATGCTCAACAGTGAAACCTAAGGTGATCAGTGAGAGCTTAGGGGTTAATTCCTTCAACCCGGATTCGATCTCCGCCAGCACCAATGAAATAATTAATTGCAATTTTGATAGCTGGTTTACTAGGTGCTCAGCGGTAAAGGAAATCATCGTGAGAAAACCAGCATGACTGTGGAATTAAAATATTTCAAAGAGCTGTTAAGTTAAATTTTTACTTTTATTATATATAAGCACAATATCAAACACAAATGTTTACCTTCTTCTTCCTAAATGCTTCAATTAATAAGTCGATATCCTTTCTCTGCAATGGAAAGTCAATATCGGGGCCGCGAGGTGCTTTAGGAGGCGCCGTTTCGTCTACACCCCCACCCTCATCAGACTCCTCGGAAAATACTTGTTCCACTAAAATAGAACACATTCGTCAGTACCACATCATATACGTACGTCTGAATATATTTGGACATATTTTAAATTGTGTATGTAATCGTGTAAGTTCTTCACAAATACGCACGCATTATGTACAATTTGTACAATCTACACAAATCATTAAAATTGAAGTGTCTGTTTGTAATATCCAAATAACACCCTTTTACTGAATGCATGTGAAATTATATACGGTGGGTACCTAAAACAAACACCATCTTTTTTTAATTTTTGTCAGTCTGTTTGTTCCGGCTGATCTCCAAAATGGTTGCACAGATTTTAACGAGACTTTTACTGGCGGATATCTGATGTTATATGGAGTAATTTAGACTACTATTATTTAAAAAAATAATTATAGTTCCACGCAAAAAATTAAAACCCATGAAATTCAATCGTAATAAATTAAACGCGGGCGAAATCGCGGAGAACAGCTAGTAAACAAATGAATTAGATAAATGTGCCCTCGTAACCGACGTGTAAACATTCAACTTACAGCCATGATCTTCCAGAAATACATAAATTATTGTAATTTCCATTTTTAGTTTATCATGTTTACTGGCGATCACAACTTTATCACAACTCATTCACAATAGCATTCACGATAGCGCAATCACATCATTATACGAGTAAGAGATAATACCACCATTTGTCAAGTCATGGTATTTCCTCAAAATTTCAAAATTTTTCCAAGTATTCCCAAAATTTTACTTAAAGGTACATGATTTAGGACATCCGTTCGAAAAGATGTGATAGATATCACACCGCTGCTACAGTACCAATTTGTTACAGTTCTAATTAGCTTTTTAATTACTAACACATTCGAGAATTATTTAAACATCCTTGGAGTGTTTTGTTCAGCTGAGTTCTTGTAATGATAAAGATGATGAATATGATACAATTATGAATCACACATCATCAACGCCGTCTTAAATTCAATACGAGTATTATATAAGCCTTTCTTTATTTCCCACCTTCAGTTTGTCATCAGGAAGGTGTACTGTACGCACGTGAGATTGGAATTTCGATAAAAAGCACATTACACACACGAAAAGTATAAATATTAAAAAGAATAAGGACGAAAAGTATAAGTATAATTTATTTTTGAAGGGAAAACTTCTTTATAAGCGTTATTTATTTGAAAATCGATAAACCGAAAAAGTGATACTAAAAAGAGACAAACATAATATACATCTATAGGGTTTAGCCCGCGAGAGAATGAGATAGAATACAGTATGGTGTTTATTATAATTGTATTTACACTTTAATTACATAAACTGTCTCATTCTCTCGAAGTTTAATTTGAATGTTTTGATGGTTTCACTTCTACCGCGTGTGAACAGCACACGTTCTTTTTTAATTTATGAGGGCTCTTATAAAGTGTTGAGATCTACTTTAATCTTTAACTAACATCAGAGGCCACTGCATTGCAAAAAGTGCAATATAATGATACAATCGCTACAATACCGTATTAGGGAAAAAAATTATTAAAACGACATACGAGTACATTTATATAAATAAAAATGATTGTTGTCGATCACTAAATAAAGATAAGGATAAACGTTTGATTATGATGGTTTAAACTTTTATTGTATTATGCAAAATTATGCAAGTAGGACTTTCTAACATTATGGAATTATTATTAGTCTATATCGTCGTCGTAGTCGTCTTTTGTTATATTGTTAAGGCTAAAGTCAGAAAAAACAAAATTGATATGTATATATAATAGATAATGGATAACACATATAATTTCTAAATGTGTCAAAAATAGTATCTGTACATTTGAATTACGCAATTTTGAGCAAGAAAAATTTAAATTTAATTTTTGTTAATAATTTTGTAGTCGATCGGCGATGAAAAACAACAACAGGAGATTCGTCACTGTGATCGCTAATTCGCCTGCTAAGCGTAGATATATCATGGGCCATGTTCACAGTGAGCTATTTATTTTCATCAAAAGTTTCAAAAGTTAGTAATAAATTTATTAAACTTCTAAGATTGATAATAGAAAGTACATAAGCACTTTTAGTTTAAAATATCTTATGCAGTTAGTCGTCAGGTAAAACGTCTAATTAATAATTATTTTATTTTTAAAACACTAACTAACAAAAAAAGAAGAGTTAGTTAATGTTTTATTTAATTTTCTTTCATATAATAATATACCTGTATTAACGTTTACTTCAAATATAATACGAGTGTGTGTAAAGGTATTATGTAATAAAAAGTTACTTACAAACTGAGGGGGTTCTGGAAGTTTTCTCCGATGATGGGCGACCGCTCGTATCACGCATGTGACTGAGAAGCGCATTGAAGAAGTAGTACAGCTGGAAAAAAAAAGGTTAATAAGATATTCGAAAAATTATTCCTTCCTACAGAAAGATTCTTACAACTATAATAACTGTATTTTGATTGCGATATGGATATGGAGCAAAATTTAAAATTATTGTTCTCTTTCAATTCAGTAGCTTTTTACAACAAACAAACAAAAATATTTTTTGTATAACATTATATGTTGCATAATCTATTGTATTTGTATAATTCAAATTGACATCCCATATGACGTACTATACAAATTATATAATTTATTACATCAATTTCAATATTTAATTCACCTACGATCATAATATAACATGTGGAGTAATATTTATTTAAAAAAAAAACAATATTACAGACCTCTATAAATATACAATATTTTTGTAACAATAATAACGCGAATGCTATATTATAATAAAAAAACAACATGTGTGAGTATCGTGGAACACTCGGTTGGAACGAAGTTCCTTCCATAGTATATTATTATTCATAAACGTATTATATTATTGATTAACAAATATAAGTAAATTAATTATTAGCGTGTATTAAAAAGAAGCGTCATTTAAAATACAATACACAATGACACAAGGAAAAAAAAATCTTACACATTTTGTCGCCTAGCATATTATTTATTCTGTGGCCTAGCTTCCATCCGCCAAATCCGTACCGTCCGATAAGGAACTTTGTTCCAAAACTATATTATAAGAGAAAAGAATAACGGATTATCCATGTATTGTCTGTAGGTGTGTATATTTTCTGTGACGTTAGTCCTGTTAGCCAGTCAAATTTTACAGCTTTATCGGAGAATAATTTACAGTTATGTACAGTTTTATAAATAAGATAATTAAACTCTTTAAACGAATTTCTTAATCATTCTACTTCCTACAATAAATTCGTATTACAAAATTTTTAAGGTATATAAGTTCACGCTTTTTATAAATAGCGGCACGACAGTCTAGCGGTCACCGTAGGGCCCGCCACATATCTGACGGCTCCGTGGCGCAGTGGCTTAGCAATGAGTTTCTGCGCTGGGGGCCGCGGGTTCGAATCCCGCACGGAACAAATATTTGTATGGTCTACAAATAACTGTACCGTGTCTGGATGTTTGTCCTTGTGCAATTTGTGTTTGTAAACTGCCTCCACGATACAGGAGAAAATCCTAGTATGGGGGTAACATTTTTAAAAAGAAAAAATATATATACGGAATTTCGTTTCGGGATTCCATTTCGGAATTCTGCGATCGGAATTCCGAATCGGAATATCGAAACGGAATCCCAAAACGGAATTCCGTATGTATGTGGCGGGCCCTATTGGGGATAAGTCGCGCTGATTGACACGTGCGCATCGTTCGCTCGCGCTAATTGGCTCTCCAGTCGCACTCGTGCAATTCAATTCGTGCGCGTCCCCTCCACGTTTCGTTCAGCGCTAGACTTACGTGCCGCGACTTGTATTATGAAATGATTCCGCAGTTATACCAGAAGTGCCACCTGCTTTCCATCTCCCGTTGTGAGATTTTATATTTATAACCACAGTTATACGGATGATTGAAATTTATTTTAAGTTACAATTGTTTATTTCTTAAAAATCTAAATGGATCGAATAGTTTAGTCACAAAATAACTCATCCTATTAATACTCAACGAGTATTTATATATTTTGTTTACGTCTATACAACAACAACTTACAAACAGTCCGTTACATTTGCGTTTTGTTAACAAGTAGAAAAAAACCAATTTGTTAATATTATCTTACAGTCCGCCATAAGACTAGATTTAACGTCGGAATATGGAAAAAGTCGAAATATTAATGTTTTGATTTTGCTCAACACAGCTAAATAGGACACAGATAATGGTTAATTAATCTAAAGACGTTTTTTTATTCTGCTTAGCACCACTGCTCCAATTACCCAACTTTATCGTAGTTATCGAAGTAAATATCGATTTATTACGCGGAGGCCTTTTTATACATGTTGGTCTAACTTATTAACACTCAGTTGCTTAGCAACATGTGTAACCAATTTTCTTACCGGAACCAGTCGAACCTTTACATAATTTATATTTATTTATTTTGTTGTTTATTAGTGGATAATAAGGTATATTATTTTATTCATTCATTCAACCTCTTATAAAGAATCAAAATTCTCATTTTAATCCTGTTTCTGGATGAAACATCAACTAAAATAATTTTTATGGGAATTTGTTATTATATAATTTTAATGAGATTAAATGCTAGAAACTCAATCTTAAACAGTTTAAGTTATACATAGATAATATGTTCGTAGACTTAATTTGGTCATCATCATTATTACAATCCATCACAAGTCCACTGCTGGGCATAGGCCACTCCCAAGAACACCACAAAGCTCGGGCCTGAGACACCTGATAATTTGGTCCTACACATTAAATGAGATTAAACGCAAAGCAATATAGAAGAAACCTTATGGAAAATAGCGCTAGATGAGAAAATACAAAGAAATCGCTCTTCACAAAGTCACTGAATCACAAAGAACTTATTTGTCGACGACATAAGCCGATAGGACTGTTGGGCATGATTTAGTCTAGTGTATCAAAAATTTCCTACAACGACCGACGACTCTGCCATTCTATCAAGTGTTATATTGGCAAATTACCAACCTTAGCCTTAGATGTAATAAGAATTAAATAATATAACATTTACGTATACTTCTCTATCATCTAAAAAAATATCTTCTTGATAGCAGCAAATCTTCCTCGAAATTTGGCTTGTAAAATAAGTAAAATTTTATACTAGTCCCTACAAAACAAGTAGTCCTGTCTTTTTGGTCCTCCAAACAAAAGCGATTTACTACTATACAACCCTTTGTCAGATCTAGTTTATCCCAAGTTCGACTTAGAGGTCAATCGTTGGATCTCAGCTTAGCTAGACAGCGTTTGGTGGATTAAGATACATTTTCTCGTCACGCATACCTCAAAACTTGAAAAAAAGAGTGTAAGCGTGTTTTTAGTGATGACGTATAGATCTAAAACTTGATCATTCACTGCCAGTTGTATGAGGAAGCTCAAGGTGGCTCGTGGAACTATGGAGATGACTATGCTCGGAGCTTCTGTGCGTGATAGTCTTCGAAATAAGGAAGTAAACTAAGCGACAAAAAGACAAGGATAACGGATTCGTAAGCTGTACTTGCTATTAGTCGGTCATATAGCTTGAAGAACCGACAACCTATGAGGATAAAAAATATTCTCTTATTGGCAGCCTTGATAAGCAATAAGCAGTGTAGAGCGGCCCCCCACTAGATGGAGTGACGACCTGAATCTTTAGGAATGTAGTATTCCTTGAGGGACGCCTAAGTTCAGCAGTAGACTTGTGAAGGGCTGTAATGATGATGAAAATAAACTCTTCGTCAAGTGTAATCCTAATTCGTACTGCAAAACTTTAATTTAAAACTGTATGACCTGGCCATGTAGCATCAAAAATGACACCATATTTATTTTAATATGTTTTATGTTTGTTATTATCTCATACTCCTGCTGTATTTCTTATAAAATAAAGTTAAATTACTGAGCTGTGTATCGCTAGCAACGCAAAATCGGGAATTTGCATTTGGAAAAATCCAAAATTAGGGGCTTTTTAAGTGCTAATTAGGTGCCAAGTTTAAAAATTAGGTGCTCTAAAATTTTCATCGCAAGGAACGATTGAAATTTGCGTTGCCAGCAAAACGTCTCGCTAGCAACGCAATAAAGTTATTAGATATACCATAAATATTAATAGCAAGGAATTAAGTGCTAATTAGGTGCTGCAAGTATAAACAATAACAAGGCACCCCTAATAAAAATAAAGTCGTTATTCAGAACATAGCAGATGCAAAATTCAGATTTCCTGAAAATCAAAATAGAATCAAAATTGCTTTCAGAAAAAGTCCAAATTAGGGGCTTTTTAGGTGCTAATTAGGTGCCAAGTTTAAAAATTAGGTGCTCTAAAATTTTCACCGCAAGGAACGATTGAAATTTGCGTTGCTAGCAAAACGTATCGCTAGCAACGCAATGAAGTTATTAGATATACGATAAATATTAATAGCCAGGAATTAAGTGCTAATTAGGTGCTGCAAGTATGCGCAATGATAAGGCGCCCTTAATAAAAATAAAGTAGTTATTCAGAAACAAAACAGATGCAAGATTATGGTTTTCTGAAAATCAGAATAGAATCAAAATTGCTTTTAGAAAAAGCCCAAATTAGGGGCTTTTTAGGTGCTAATTAAGTACTAAGTTTAAAAATTAGTTGCTCCAAAATTTTCGCCGCAACGAACCATTGAAATTTGCGTTGCTGGCAAAACGTATCGCTAGCAACGCAATGAAGTTATTAGATATACGATAAATAATAATAGCAAGAAATTAAGTGCTAATTAAATGCTGCAAATATAGGCAATGACAAGGCGCCCCAGATAAAAAATAAAATCGTTATTCAGAAAATTATTCAGTAAAGCAAATGCAAAAATCAGGTCTTTGTGTATGTGCCATCTAACGTCTATCGCACTGACCACCTTGAGAGTCCATCGATTTTGATTCGATAAAATGACTAGAATTATAGAACGTTGTAGATGGCGCTATTTATTACAAAGCAATTTACTGGAAAGAATATAATATCCTTTCGATTTCGTACACTAAAAATAAGAATTGTAATATTTATTTGCTATAAAATTAAACTTCTATCGTATATAGTAATTAGGTCAAGTTCAAATTAGTAAGCGCCGCCTCTTACACCGTTCCACCCTCACCCCGCCACGCGCTTTCTTTTGCTAATACCAGGACTATTACCGTTTAGAAGGTCCAATATTTTTATTTTTGTATGAAAATAATAATTTTAGAAATATATTTATTTTCTTACAGATGTTGTTGTTATGATGTAAATAACATATTCCCAAAAGGTCTTCAGTAAATTAAAAATTACCCTGTATACAGCTTGCAAAGATCATTATTTATTAGAAGAATAAAACATTAAAATAAACAATAAAACATTTTAATAACATACTATAGCCG